AATAAATATAGCAAATAATATTCACCAATCGCAATTTCTCTGCACTCTATAGTTATTTCATAAGTGGGGGACCAAAAGAGTTATTTTGCCGTAAATAATTTGCTCGGAAACTACTCCATATATAAATAGTGAAATTGTATTCCGGTTGCCCTCGGCATCACGCTTGCACTCTCCGCGTGGTATCACGTCCCAATTACCAACCGTTAGATTCTTATCAGTACTTCATGCCCCACACTTCTTACCTGCAGCGCGTGGTAAATCCATCCTTCTACGCGCCTTTGAGGAAATTTTGCCCTAATCGCAATTCCTCTGCTCTCTATATTCACCATCACCTGCACCACCACCGGCAACCACTGCTACTTCTCCTCTAATCGGCCGAACCTTTGCCGGATTTTTAATTTTTTCCATTCTCCTGTCCGATCTTCTAGTTTTTGTAAGGTAAATGATTTGATCTTGATTTTTCTTTGGTTTTAGTAAGTTTTTTCGCATTTCTTATCCTTGCGCTGGTGTTTAGATCTGCTAATCCGTTGATTTCTTCGCTTCTGTAATTGTAGATCTTTGTTAGTTTGATTCTGAATCAGATTTTTTTCAAGGGATAAGATGGAATCGATGGACATCGTTGGTAAATCGAAAGAGGATGCTTCGCTTCCCAAAGGTTTTTATTTTTTCCAGTTTTGTGTCTTGAATTCTCGATTTGTTGTTGTAGTTTTTGTTGGTGCTGCGTTGTAGTTGATTCATGGCTTTGCCACAGGTTGAATTTTTATGCAAAGATGTTTTCTTTTCCTAATTTTTCCCAGTGAAGCTTATTTTTGTTAAACTTTGAGCTAATGGATGTTTTGAAAAATCAAGTACATGCTGACTTATGTTTATTTATTTTGTAATTATTATTATTGATAGTAAAGTGTTGGATGTTGATAGAGATACTCGAAACCGATATATATCACCTCTAAACTAGCTCAAAATACTGTGAACCAAATTACATGAGGTCTATTTTTGTGTAGCTCAAAATACTGTGTACACCTTGGACTTGAATAAATTCGCTGTCTTTGATGATTGAGGTATTTGTGTTGAAGTTGAACTTAATTGTCTTACTTTATTGATCCCTTGATTTATTTGCAGCAACTATGACAAAAATTATTAAAGAGATGCTACCACCAGATGTTCGTGTTGCTCGAGATGCTCAGGATCTGTTAATTGAATGTTGTGTAGGTGAGTAGTCTTTTGCTGGTGTGTGTGGCTCTTTGATCACGTGATCCCCAATATGATATATCTATCTGTTTAACCTGTTCAACCTGTTCAACCGTGAAATGACACATGTTTCTTTTTACTTCACATTCTTCGGATACCTTGGTTGTGTATTGTAATAGCTTTTTGTAGATCTTCACAAGTGCTCATGAAACACATCTATAATACTGTTATATAGCCTTCTAAACTTGTTGATACATTATGTAGGTCTTCAAACTTAATTAGTTTTTGCTTATAAAGCAACTTGGAATCTTTTTACACTTTGATGATAATGGGTGGGTACTGCTTCTTTGTTGGGGTTGTGGGAATGCCATGTATTAAATTTCTACAGGCATTGAGATATATTAAAACATAAGCTTAAAATTGCAATCTTTCTTTTTTGGGATATTTATTTATGTAGGATAAATAATGATTTCCCTGCGTCTTAGAAATTCTAAATTGTTTATTCTCTTGCAGAATTTATTAATCTAATATCATCAGAATCAAATGAAGTTTGTAATAAAGAAGAGAGACGAACAATTGCTCCTGAGCATGTGCTCAAGGCCCTCGAGGTAATTGACTGATCCTTTGTGTTTAGACATTGTTGGTTTATTAGCTGTCTGATAGATTACCTTGCTTGTTATTTTATTTCAATGTCATATTGTGGACTACTGACAGTAGATTACGACCAGTGCCCTTCTTAGTGTCTAATGTTATAAACATTCTTCATGCAAAAAGTCTGCTTTTGGTTTAAATTTTATTAGTCATGCCATAGTTGTGGTTGTCTATTCTCGATGTTAGTATGTATGTTCCATTTTATTATTGTGACTTAAAAGTGGATGGCTTGAACTGCATGAATATTCTATTGCACGGGACACCAATTTGAGTTGTAGAGGCCAGTCCATTTTCCTGAGCAAAGTTTTAACTATTCCGAAATATTTGAAGTCACCTAAATTTTGACTTTTGCTTCTAGAAATGATTTGAATACAACCTCATCATGTTTCAAATACATCTTCACCAGGTCCTAGGCTTTGGGGATTATATTGAAGAAGTTTATGCTGCGTATGAACAGCACAGGCTTGAAACCATGGTACTGGCTTCTATTTCCTTATTATTATCTTCAGTTTAGTTTCTATACAAACACAAATTAAATAGCTAAGTTAGAGCCTTAAGAGAGGTCAGGAGTTCGAACGCCCTTGTATGGAGAAACTAATCTGGCTAGCACTTTGCCCCTTAATTGGGCCGGCCCAATGCGACGAGGATTAGTCTGAGTATGGTACGGCCTTAAAGGTGCCTCTTACAGAGTTACAGTTAGGGCCTGCTCAGGACACCTTGTGGTCTAACCAAAAAAAAAAAAAAAACTAAGTTAGAGCGGTTCAATCCTAGTTTTCAAACTCGCTGATCAGTGGTTATGTGATTATTGTCTTTTACATATTATGTTTTTGGGTGTATGTGCTTCCTTTACAGGATACCGTCAGGGCTGGGAAGTGGAACAATGTAGCTGAAATGACCGAAGAAGAAGCGTTGGCTGAGCAACAGAGGATGTTTGCAGAAGCACGAACAAGGATGAATAACGGCATTGTGGTCCCCAAACAATCAGACCCGGAGCCGGAACATAAATAAACTGCTAACGTATGTACACCTCCATCTTTAGGTTTAGGCAAGATCATCTGTTGCTTCATAGTTATTAGGATTCTGTCTTGCATTATCATGTACAGAAATCTCTTAGCTAGCCTGCCCCTCTTTTTGACCTTACTTGTACTTTATGAATTTATGTCTATATGTTTATGTAGTTAGTGTTTTGCCATGGAACTTTGGTGTATCAGTGTAAGTGCCAAAGGGGTATTCCTCTTGCCTGAACTCAGTTCATCTAAGCATCAATCTAAATCTGGTTGATGTTAGTTGCAACATAGGCTGTTCAATGGAATTACTACTACCTGTTTTATTTTGTGCATTTAGTTAATATTTAATTATAAATACAAAAAAGTCTTTAATAAAGAGTATTGTTTGAAAGAAAGAGAAAAAAATACTTAAAAAAAAAATTTGAAAGGAAAGTACAAGGAGAAAAAGTCCCTGATATAACTATTGTAGCTTTTGTTTTATAATTTACAGGGGCCTAATGGGTTATATTGTTGCCAAAGTTCTTTTAAACCCAACAAGGCTTTGGCAAATTTTATTGTAGATAATGGTCCAAAACGGTATCGTTTCTTTTAATAAAAAAGTGGGGCACTGGTTTTGTCCAATGAATTTTGCTTTTATAGTGTATTTAGTTTCATATCATTTTGATTCAACTACAGTTTCATTTGACATTATACACTCAATATGTGAGACTTATTATTGAATTCTATTTTATACATATTGCAGTTTTATTACAACACCACTAAAGTATAATTTTAATTTAACTATAGTTTCATTGGACAATATACACTCAAATATGTGAAACCTATTATTTAGTTTCATTTTATATAAACTATAGTTTCATTACAGTACAACAAAAGTATCATTTTGATATAACTACAGTTTTATTTGACAATATATACTCAAATATGTGAGATATGTTATTCAGTTTCATTTTTAACATGTCGTAGTTTCATTACAACACAACTAGAGTATCATTTTAATTCAACTACAATTTCATTTAACAATATACACGTAATATATGAGATCTGTTATTCAGTTTTATTTTAGATACACTATAATTTCATTATAGTACAACTAAAGTATCATTCTAATTTAACTACAGTTTCATTTGACAATATACACTCAATATGTGAGACATATTATTTAGTTTCATTTGAGATACATTGTAGTTTTATTTTATTCTGAGCATAACGACCACTGTTTCTTTACTTGAAGAAATGATGACGGCGTTTTTGAACTATGGATAAAATTGATATCGGAACCCTAATAGCCTGTAATAGTATGTCATTTACTGAGTTTTGAACTTCATTGCATCAATATAATATGTTAAAAGATATAGGAATAAGGGTCAAATTAGCCATCGAACGTAACGTAAAAATGCAATTGAGCCACTCAACTAAAAACAAATGCAATTAGACCATTTAACGTTGTAAAATTATGCAATTTGTCCCAAGTGACCTACAATGGCAGGTTACCAACAAGTAATAAATTAGAACTTTTAAAAAGAAATTAAAAATTATTTAAAAAAAAAAAAAAAAAAAAAAAAAGACCAGCAGTAGCTCCGGTGATGGCAGGTCGTCGACGGCGGCCTTCTCCAACCTCTCTTACCCTGATCAGCATTGACAGCCTCCTCTCGTCTCTCTTTCTCTAAGGTATACATGTTTTCTAAAAATCAAGACCTTCTTTTCTCATATATGGAGCCCATGGCTTGGCAATGTATTTCTAAAGCTTTCCATGCATATTTAGAGAGTGAAGATTTCATTGGGAACTAACATAGTTTTTCTGATAGGATTGTGCATGGCAGTTCAAGCATTTTTATCTCCTGAATCTCAGGGTTTTCTAAATGTTTTGTCTGGGTATGTTTCTTTTCTGGAAGACAACTTCTGTAAACCCTTTTCCTTTGATGTCTAAAACTCATATTTAATACTTGAACTGAACAGAAGTATGCTGTCGATCTGTACGCATCAGGGGAAGAGAGGTCGGAGAAGGCTGCCGTTGACGACCCGCCATCACCGGAGCTGTTGCTGGTTTTTTTTTTTTTTCTCTTTTTTTTTTTTTTGTTTTCCGTTTTAAAATAAATTTTAATTAATTACTTGTTGGTAACCTGCCATTGCAGGTTACTTGGGACAAATTGCATGATTTTACAATGTTGAATGGTCTAATTGCACTTTTTTTTAGTTGAGTGGCTCAATTGCATTTTCTCGTTACGTTCGATGGCTAATTTGACCCTTATTCCAAAGATATAATTGCACTTTTTATAAGTTTAGAAAGCTAATTAACTTTTCAGGTAAAATTTAGAGCTTTTATGAATCTTGATTGTTTACGAGTTTTAAATTTATCATTCAATCTCTAAAGCAGCATTCTACACGTTTTAGTCTTTAAGAGACACAAAAGTGTGAACCAAAATACACATTTAGTTGGATGGATGGCGGTATTGAAAGAGTAATTTACAAATATCTAAAAGTCTAAAACATTCAGCACCAGTGGTCTAGTGGTAGAATAGTACCCTGTCACGGTACAGACCTGGGTTCGATTCCTGGCTGGTGCAGTGTATTTTGTTTTCTTTAACTTCATGTAGTTTTACGATTTTGCGACCTTTTTCTTTTACCGAACTAGCAGAATAGCAGATTATACCGAGTATTATTTATTCATTTATTTTCCTTCTTATGAGGGCTCCAAATGTACCCAAAAAAAAAATTTATTCAGTTATTTTAAACAATAGTTATTGTTTATCAAATATAATTTAGTGGTTTTACCAATCCAGAGTTTTATTTTTAAATATTATTTTTGAAATTTAATTAACTTTTTGATTCTTTTTTTTTTTTTTAATTTTAAATATATTTATTGGTTAACTGATCGTGTCATAAAAAAATTGACAGTGCTCTACTAAATAAAACATTATTTTTTTAAAAGACGTTGGGTAGTAAGCAAAGTTCTAATTTTTTTGAGAATTTAAAAGGTGGAAATTATTCTTCTAAAAAGCTGAACTCCAACCCTAAGGGTCCCCACACCCCGACCCGACAGAGCATTTGGGAGAAAAAGGTGGAAATTATTATTTCCACGTTTGGTGTAATATTTGACTTAGTAAAGTTAAGGTTAACGAAAGTCACATTGGGAATCACATTTTGTAATATCAAGAAAAGTAAATTCCTCGGGCTTGGGCAATGGGGATTCAACATTTCGGGAAGATGAAAGTAAACACATCTAATCTTGGGTGTGATTATTTTAACTGGCTTATTGAAAATCTGTCAACTTTATTCAATTACATATTTATCATTTTTGGTGTCATACTGTCATGTTAAAAATCGTCAATAAATATAAGAAATTTGATTGTCCACCATTGCACATTCTTTATCAAAATATCCAAATACGTAGTTAATATTTTTCCTATGTAATCTGATTTGTAATCTGATAAAATAATATATGCATTACGTGTGTGTGTGTATATGCAATATTATTGTGCACATATAATAAGGGTCAAATAGGTTATCTAATTGCACACAATAATAGAATTAAGACACTAAATCTTTAAAAAATAAAAAAAATAAAAAAATAAAAAAAAAAGAGTTAATACCCAAAATGGTCCTCTGACTATTAGCTAATACTCAATTTAGCCCCGAAGAATTAAACGTACTCAATTTAGTCCTCTTAGTTTTCAATTCACACCCAATGCGGTCTTCCGTTAGAATTTTCATTAATATGGCGTTATTTTGAAGGGCAATACCGTCATTTTAATTGTTAAACCATATTCTTTCCATATCCTCCTCAGCCCTCACCGTGTCCCCTCAGGTGGCACCCCTCGCAAAATGCTTTTCCCCTCCATATACAGACGGTTGTGCTTGTTGGGAGATTTGCTCATCACAACGCGGCATGACTTCTCAATGACAGTTTCACGGAAGGAGACAACAGGATCAAATGTAATGATTTCAGCACCACCCATGAAATCATCCTGCAAGTCCTTTAAACAAATCTCAAGATGAAGCTCACCAGCACGAGCGGGCAATAATGTGCTCACCAGATTCCTCAATAGAACAGACAACCATATGATCAGATTTGGCCAAACACTTCAATCCTTCAACAAGCTTGGGAAGGTTAGACGCAAGTAACGCAACCTTAATTGCATTGAACAGCAACACGCACAAAAGGTGACACAGAGAATTTAATGGCTCTGATAGGATGGGCATCCGCCTCTTTTTCATTGGTCAAAGTTGCATTCTTCGTAATAAATTGATCAAGGCCAACCATAGCCACTGTACATTCAAATAACAGTTCTCTGGACATTCTTGACATACAAGTCATTTTTCTCTCCCGGTATAAAGTTTGGACCCATGATCCTGACCTTCATTCCAGTAGCCACTCTCCCAGCAAAAACACGAACAAAGGCATAACTAAACCAGATAGTGCTGTAGATTGTAGTGCCAGACGCAATCGCCGATTCTCGCAAATTCCGGGACATGGTGGACGCCGGTTCTCGCAAATTGGTGGACGTCGATCGTCAATAAAACCAGAGCCAGTTGATCGCAACCCCTCCCCAACATCAGAGGCTGAGTCACTGGAATTTCCACCATCTCCGATCGCGATTGGTCGCAGCGGTCGGCCGATCACTCAATTGATGAAGGCGGACCTGGGGGAGGCTTGACGAAGGCTCTGGATGGCCTAGGCAGTGCTTCGCCGGCGAGAACAGCCAATCGCCTCCTGGAAGAAGACATAACCTTCGTCGGAGAGTGTGATTTCGAGCTCATGGACCAGTAAATTCGAAATGCCAAAAAATCGGGAAGAGGAAACGGGTTGTGGGTTTAGATGGTTAGGAAAAGGGGAGAAAAGAGGGCAGGAAGGCGAGTGATGGCTCGGTGGCTTTAACAAGAAGCTGTGAAGTGGGCAGTTGGGTACAATGTGATCGAAGATGCTGGTGGTTATGGCGGGGGCAGAGGTGGCGGTGGTGGTTGTGCGGGGAAAGCTGGTGAGGATGAGGAGGAAGCGGCGGCAGAAGCAGCCCTAAATTTCCGGAAGAATCCATGAGCGTCGCCTGCAAAATAGTGTGTTTGATCAGCGGAGGTTCTGAAGTCGCGATACAGAGTTCAACTAAGTAGGAATTCTTAAAGGCGTGGCGGAGGGCCTCCAACAACGTTGACCAGGAGAAGAAACGGGAATGGACAAAGTAAATTGACCTTTTTGTCCTCAAAATAACGGTGGATAGACGGTAATTGTAACGGAGGATCACATTGGGTGTGAATTGAAAACTAAGAGGACTAAATTGAGTACGTTTAATTCTTCGGGACTAAATCGAGTATTAGCTAATAGTCGGAGGACTATTTTGGGTATTAACTCAAAAAAAAAAAAAAAACTACAATTGAATCACTAAACTAACCAATTTTATGCAACTTGTAGAATTGTAAATTTTTCAAATTTCTAAAAAGTCACCTCAAATTTAAAATATTTTTTAAAATATAATTATTTAAAATATATATAAAAAAAACAATAGCTTCATCTTCGTCTCCCACCAGAGACGAAGAAGGTATCTTGTTTTTCGTGGCCGGAGACGAAGAGACTCTTCATCTCTGGTCATGGAGATGGAGACGAAGACGAAGAAGTATTTTTTTTAAAAATATTTTAAATAATTATTTTTTAAAAATATTTTAAATTTGGGGTGACCTTTTAGAAACATGAAAAACCTATAAATTATTGGACTAATTGTATGAAATGAGTTAGTTTAGGATTCAATTGTAGTTTTTTTATAGGTTTAGTGTCCTAATTGCATTATCATGTGCAGATCGATAGTCTATTTGACCCTTATTCCTATTCTATATATGTATTACATGTATATATATTCCTATGTAATTTGATTTGTTATGTATTGTAATTTATAGTCTGATTCATTATACATTTTATTGTACTAGTATTATGTATATATAACTATTGTTTGTTAATTTAAGTTTTTTTTTTTTCTTGTTAATTTCTTAGTTGATTACATACGTATTGTTTTGTATTTTAAATATTCTTGTTGCAGGCTGACTTTTTTGGCGTATGATTCATTAACGGTGCGTTTGGAAACCTGGAAAATGACTTCTAGAAAATGTTTTTCAAGTTTCTAGTGTTTGGCAAGAGAGGAGGAAAATGAGGTCAATGAAAAACGATACCTTAGTCAAAGAAAAATATGTATATTTTGAGGGAAAATGACTCCCCATTTTTTTTTTTTTTTTTGGAAGTCATTTTCCAAGGGACGCACTTCCAAAATTTTTCGAGTCCAATTTTTTGCAGGCTTTTGCGAGTCGGCCCACCAAGCCCGTAGGCTAGGATTCATGCAACCATAGCCCGCCCCATTAAACAGAGCCTAATTTACAAGGTAATTTTTTAAACTCTTAATTTTTTATTTTTATATTTGAAAACTTAAACTCTCAGTTATTTATTATGTTTTTAAATGTTAGTATATATAATAAAAAATATTAAACATTTTAAAAAGTTTCATGAGAAATTTTAAACGAACTAAACATGTTAATTAAATTTTCAGATAATTTAATTATTATGTGGATCCACTATTTTATATTTTATATTTTAATTATTTTTTTATTTATTTGAATTATAAATTTATAATTATGAAAATTAATTAAAATAAATACACCTACATTTAATTAAAATAATAATTATAAACATTTAAATTAATTTTTGTTGTTGCCCCTCTATTTATTTTAATTATTTTAATTTTAATTGTAATGAAATGATTTAGAATTTAATTCAAAAATATATATTATATAATTGAAATTTGTGAAAAACTTAAAATATAAATAATAAACGAAAAGCTAAGAAACGAAAGTGTGAAAAACAATAATAAAGAAAGAAAGTAGAAAGAAACAAAAGAAACAATAACTCACAAATAAAGAAACAATAATAAAGAAAGCATGGATGCTAATTAATTAAAGAACTCAAAACTTACTACTTAAAGAACGAACGTAACCTTACTACTTAAAGAACTCAAAGGGAACACTTCCATGAGTGCTCATCAAACACTACATGGATGCTAATTAATTACCACCATCTTAGTTAGAGGATCTCAAAACTTGTATCATTTTACACCTTTCTTGTTAAACTCTTCCAATCGATCACTAGATTTTTGGTTCAAGTTTCATATTTAAATTTCTATGCACCTAATGTCAAAATAACAGCTCATTCAAGCTCATCACCAGCTCATTTACCCATTCGATCAGCCTGTCATATGTGTTTAGCCTCAAGGGCTTTTTTGTATTTTCCTTATTTCATAATTCTGTTATTTCTGTTACTGAGCTGCCAGTCTATATAAGGCTGCTTCCTTTCTTCTTCTGCATTCGAGACTTCACTTCATCAATAAAACTGCTTCTCATTCCACTCTTTTCACTACTAGATCTAAGATGCACTAAGTTTTCTATCATGGTATCAGAGCGGCATACATACGCTGCTGCAGTTATAATGAACAATCAAGCTACCGGCGAAGCAAGCTCATCCGGACAGACGGCGAATCAGAATCCAGTTCAGCGGAACGATGAATTTGATGATCCGCTATACCTACACATCACTGAAAATCCAAATCTGGTGTTAGTTTCACCTGCCTTATTCGAGCACAACTATGCTTCGTGGAGTCGATCGATGAAGATGGCTCTAGAAGTAAAAAACAAGTTCGGATTTGCCAGTGGATCTATCCCTAAACCAGTCGAGAACGATCCAAAGTATGGAGTATGGAAGAGATGCCAACATCGTGTGTTCGTGGCTCTTGAAATCTCTTAATTCAACAATTGCCGAAAGTGTTCTCTACTATGAATTAGCAGCAGACATTTGGAAGATTCTCGAAAAGAGATATTCACAGGCAAATCCGCATAGGATTGCAGAATTGCAGAATGAGATCTTCCGGAATGTGCAAGGTAATATGACTATCAATGAATATTTTACTAAGAGCCATGCCTTGTGGGAAAGAATGAATGCTATGAGACCTATACCTCTATGTGAATGTCTTCCTAGATGTTCATGTACTCTCCTAAGCAAAATACAAAAAGAGAGGGCTGATGATCAAGTGATCAGGTTCTTAGAAGGACTCAGTGATGACTATGAGTCTGTTAAATCCAATGTGCTTGTGATGGATCCCATTCCGGAAATGGAAAAGGTCCTCAACATGACCTTAAAAATGGAAAGGAAAATTAATGGATCTGTTAGTCAAAGAAGCAGTGACCTAGTTCAGTCCAATGCTGTCCAAAATAATCAGAATCAACCTATAGATGAACACAGTAGTGTGGCAGTTTCAGCTTCTAATGCCAAAAAGAAATTCAATAGTAATGGAGGGAAGAATGTTCCTAATGCACCTATTGTGGGATGATAGGACATACTATTGAAAAGTGTTATAAAAAACATGGATATCCCCCTGGTTGGGTGCATGGCTACAAGTCCAAAAACAGGCAGAATCAGGAAGTTCAACAGGTTGTGAATCTTTCTGTAAACCAAGTTGGTGACATAGGGATATCAGCTGATCAACTTCAAAGATTGGTGTCCTTATTGCAAGGACAAAGCCAAGGAAATCAATCATCTTCCAATGCTGCTGTGACAGTAAGCAGCTCTAGAATAAAGCCTTCATTCAAACAGACCTCTGAGAACTCCAGTGAAGGTAGTTATATTTCCAACTTGCATGTTAATACTGTTTTGACTTCACCATCTATTTGGATATTAGACTCAGGGGCAACAGATCACATTACCTGTTCCCTAGAGTTCTTTGAAAGATATCAGATCATACATGGGGTGTTTGTGAGACTGCCTAATGGAGAAACAGCCAAAGTAACTCATATAGGGGAAGTCAAATTGGATAAGAACCTGCTATTAAGAGATGTCTTGTATATTCCTGCTTTTTCATTCAACATTATATCTGTTAACAGACTGGCTAAACAGATGTCTTGCAAGATTATTATGAATACTGATTCATGTACTATCCAGGGTCCTCATGGGACAGTGGTTGGTTTTGCTAAGGAGAAAGATGGACTGTACCTGATCACTAAACCTCCTGTTAGAAAGAAGAAATCTTATGCTGATGAAACTATTGATGTTCAGTGTAATAGTATGTCCTTGATGCTATGGCATAATAGACTAGGGCATTATCACTTAAATAAGATACATCTTTTGAAAGGAATAAAGCATGGACATTTTGTTAAATCTGCTAATCTCCCTTGTGATGTATGTCATTTTGCCAAACATAAAAAATCAACTTTTCCTGTCAGTGTCTCTAGAGCTGAAAGATGCTTTGACTTAATACATATGGATGTTTGGGGTCCTTTTGCCATTGCCTCATTAAAAGGAGAACATTATTTCCCAACCATTGTTGATGATCACAGTAGATTTACTTGGTTGCATCTAATGAGAAGTAAATCAGAAGTTAAGTTGCTATTCCAGAATTTCTGCCAATATGTCCATACTCAATTCTCTGCAAATATTAAGGCTATAAGGACTGATAATGGGACTGAATTCCTCATGTCTGATTTCTATAACAAGAAGGGAATTATCCATCAAAAGTCATGTGTATATACACCTCAACAAAATGGGATTGCAGAGAGGAAACATCAACATCTTTTAAATGTGGCCAGAGCCCTTAGATTTCAGTCTGGTTTGCCCATGGAATTTTGGGGACATTGTGTCTTACATGCTTGTTATACCATTAACAGACTACCTTCTCCTATTTTGAATGGAAATACTCCTTTTGAGATGTTGTTTGGGAAGCAGGTGATATATGATCAGTTCAGAGCTTTTGGCTGTTTATGCTATGGTGCCACTATTGCACAAGGAAGGAACAAGATGCAACAAAGAGCTAGAAAGTGAATTTTTCTGGGGATTCCTGCTAATGTCAAGGGTTATCTATTATATGATATCATTAACAAGGACTTCTTTGTTTCCAGGGATGTCCATTTCTATGAGCATAACTATCCTTTCAAGGAAGATATTACTTTGGTGAGCTCAGAACTTCCTGAAAATGAGACTCAGGAACTTGATCCTTCTCTAACCTGGTCCCAAGACCTTAATACTACAGGAGTCCATGGTCCAGAAATATTAAATGAGATTGATAAACCTGATGTACCAGAAGGCAATATCACACATGATGCAATACATGAGGCAGCTCTGGAAGAAGAAAGCAATTCTTTTCAAACCAATGAACCATCCTATGAATCAGTTCACAGAATGGGTGATGATGATGCTATTTCTGAATCAGTCATGAATACAGTAGATGATGTTCAACCAACATTGAGAAGATCAGAAAGGCCTAAGAGTATTCCTACAAAATTGATGGATTATTACTGTCATTCAATGACAAGCAATGGAATCCAGGTT